GTGATGGTTAAAACTCTAATCCTCCACAGCTCATCATTTTTGGGGCTTGCCTTTCTCTCACAGCAATAGGCCATGAAACTGATACATTATTTTGAAACATGTCAACTAAAAAGATGTTGCAGTGCACAGTATATGATTAAGATTCAATAGCACATCATAAAATATTTAAACTGATGGAAAGTAAGAAACCCAATTCACAAGTAATAGAAAAGTAATTATGATCTAATGAAATATTACCTTTGGAAATCTATAGTGAAGGGACTTCTCTATGAGAAAGTCTCAATATATGTAAGTCTTAAAATTTATAGTAATTCTTAAAACTTTCTGCATATATAATAATAAAAACAAGAAAAGATGAAAAAGTAAAAAAAAGTCTACATTTTTGACATAAATTTTTTTCAAATATTTACTGCAAGTCATAAATTATTCCACAGAATATTGAACAAAAATTCAAAGCCATCCATGGAAGTGATTAATACGCAACAGTCTCAAGTAGATCAGTACTTATGTAATTATACTATCTTCCACAGAAGGCACTACAAAGCAGTAAGAACCCAAGACGACTTCTGTTACTACTATTTCAGAATTCCCAATTTAAAACAGACAAATACAACTGTAAAACAAGAAACGGAATGGAAACAAATATAAATATGATTTGATGTGATGGAATAAATTTCCTATCCTTTCTACTTCTTAAAAGCATTCTAGTGGTTTTATGTTTATCATTTTAAAAATGAGTAAATCAAGAAAAAGTAGCATATTTTCTGATTCAGCACACCACTTGCAGGGGTGGGGTCAAAGAGCATCCTCAGGGACTATTTTAACTGGTGTAGGATGGAGCCATTACAATGGTGTTTGAAAGTATGGATTCAGCTTCATCTCAGGGCAGCCAGCGACAGTCTTATCTGCAGGCCCTGAGTCATCCCGGTTGGCTGTCCGAGCATGCTTCCCAGTATACCGTGAATAAGCACACCCAGTCAAGTGGTAATGTGGAACTTTACCACCAATAACTTGACACTACTAATGTCACCGAACACCTGGAATATGGCGCACATCTTTGATACTGGCTTGAGACGGTACATTACAGGTACATTACAGATTGAAGTACAGTATGGTCACTTTTGTCCTGCCCATACTGTTAAGTCCCCTACTTCTGGCGCAAATGGCAGAGATCTGCTTGGTCTTACTGCATCCAGCACCACACGTTTTGCTCCGGAGCAAAAGCTCCTCAGAGCGCTGCAGTATGTGGAAGGGCCAATAACCACCTTTCAAAACCCAAGTCTCAACATAAATGTACCTATAAAAATACTGAAAAACACAGAAATCTTCAGAAATGCTAAGTTCATAAATGCATGAAAAGATGAAAAAACTGCAGCTGGTTTCTGAGAAAGTGTCCAACGTGCTGCCTCTTACTGCTCCCAGCAATTTCCTTATCCTACTATCTACTAGATCTAAATTTTTCCACCATATGTTTATAAATTCCTAAGTTAGAAATGGGCAACAAAACAAAACAAAAAATAAGACTCTCACTCTAGACACATTTTAAAATACTGGTCACTATTTCTGTAGGCAGTCTGATTCTGAAGTACATATCTGTGATATATCTCTGAAGCAAGTAAGTATTATTTCCTGTTAAATAGCATCTAAAATTTTACATATAAAAAGTAAAACATAATACGTTAGTAACTAACCTCCTTGTAAAAGAAAAATAATCCTGTATGGTTTGCCGTTTAATAATGGACTTCCATTACTGGAGATAAACATTTTTTGGTCCTGTCATCTTAGATTCAGCAAACTCGCTACATTCTGTTATATATATGGCCGGTACACTGATACCTTAATACACACTGAAAATTTAGTGTGATTTGTAGTAAATAATTTTATGGGCAACTGGAGAAAACAATATTTCTACTTCACACGTTAAAAAAGCTAAGGGGAACAGTATTCCTAGTTTATCAGTCTTAAATTTGTTTTTTTTAATTCCACCAATAATTATGTCACTGATATTTGCATACTTCTCAAATGCTTTTGTCTGGCATTATCCAGCTGGTCACACACAGCTACTTGGTGCTCCTACTACTGATAGCCCAAACTGCGAAGTACAAAGCGCAAGCAGATTTCAAATACCTAACTTTAAAAAGTCATGTAAAGTACAGTGTCTCATTTTCATGTTCATCAAATGCTGAAATAACATGCTGAATGTGCTGATTTAAATAAAATGCTACAATTTATTTCAACGCTTCTGCTTGACTACTAAAAATGTTTAAATTACACTTGAGATTCGCATTAACTTTATATTGGACAGCACTGGCTATCCTCCTACTAACTGACACCTCTAGATAATTCTCCATAATTTGATCACTAGTTACAACAACAAAATTTAAATCTTTCAGATTTGTTTCTAATTAAATTATTCATTTAATTTTGAAGCTGAGAGAGACTCATATACTAGAAAATCATTAAGGTAAATATCTAGCCAGGCATGGTGCTGCACGCCACAATCCTGGAATCCCAGCACTCTAGGAGGCTAAAGCAGGAGGATGGCAAATCTGAACCCAACCTGACAACTTTGACCTTGCCTCAAAAACAAAAACTAAAGAGCTTAGGATCTAATGCAGCTCGGTGCAAATGCCTTGGGTTCAAACCCCAGTGCTATAAAAAAGTAACAGAAAAACGAACGAATGAATGAATGAATGAACGAACAAGTATCTGGCTACTATGGGCCAGGATTTTGTAAGGCAAGCTCACAGTTCTTTATATGGTATTATCACTGTGGTAGTAACCACTAAAAAAGTCAATGACATTCAAAGGAAAAATATGGAAATGTCAGTAACGTTAACAATCAAAAAATAGCCAGAAGCCAAGTTCTCCATCATAATCACTGCCATGAAAACTGGTCTCATTTTTTACCCAATCCCTACTGCTAAGAATTTGTAAATGAATCATTAAATTAAACCAGAAGTGTAATACAAAATTACCTGGTATCAAAGAAATTCATGTAACCAAACAATGGACTTTAGCAATTCTGATGTATATGCACTCCTGTTAGGTACAGAGTATTATGGCCCCGGTGCCTCAAGAATGAAAGAACCACCTTCAAGTCAGACTCTACACAGTAACAGACAACAGTGGAACAGCAAGTCCTGAAGCACCCAGTGAAGCTTGTTTTGCTATACAACAAAAACCAAAATTGGAAGCCTAAAACGACAGATGAAGACAGTGGCAGCTAGTCATAGATTATTGTCAGATTGGGGAACTAAAAGATAATATAGCAGAAGCAGTAGCAAATATTAGGGAATGGCGGCTTATAATATAAGGATGGGAAAAAATACATATATACAAATATACACATTAGTCGGAATAAAAATCAACAGGAAAAAAATAGTCTAGGCTAAGGGTTTTAGCACAGGCCAAGGGCATTTGCATAGTATGCCAAAAAAGCCTGATCCACAAAAAACAAACAAGTCCTAATGTGCTCAATCTAGTTTCTCTGTCGGAACAAGTCCCCAAAAAGGAAAGATATCAGTAAAATTAAACAGAAAAGTTGATGTAGTATCTTTAAGAAATAAAAATATCTAAACCAAAAGTAAATTTGAGATTCAAATTTCTATTGTTAGGGTTTTATCAGTTAGAACCACATAATTATTACATATTTATTTATTTTTTTAAAAAAAGACTTACTGAGAGAAGAAAACAGTACAGTTGTAAGTGTTCAAGAACACTTAGACAAAAAAACATACATAAATGTATTTTGGTTTCCTGCATGTTTTTGCCATAAAGAAATAGCCAAATTCCATATGACACTTTGCCTTTGATGTAACTTATCTTTAGATAGTAAAAAATATATCTGGGATTTACTTAGAGATTAAATTTCACATTAAAAAGATCTTTTTAAAACTAATTTTCTAACTCGAAAACTAGTGGATCAAGATTAATTATTATTCCTTTAGAAGTCAGACTGTAATTGCTAGGAGCAATTTAGAACAAGAGACTTAAAACGTCAAATTCCCATGATGACTAAACACTTCTCCACTGTTTGGTATCTTGCCATTTTAAAAAACACTTCAACAAGCAGCAGCAACTGTATGGAACAGTGAGTAATTACTGGCTACAATATCTTCATTTATTCACATAGTCTCACTTAAATCACATTTAAATTTCACCCCTAAAAGGTAAAATCCATAGTACTTAAAATAATGAGAAGAGTTCTTTCAACTTCATGAAGATCAATAACATAATTTTAAGACTTTTTCCATAAAACTACTGGAATAAGTACCTTGGAAAAAAATCCAAGAGTTAGCAATTAATAGAAACACCAAAACAAGAAATTCCCCAGCATAAAAAACTCTTTATAAATCTTAATGCTTATGCAGCTAAAAATATACACACTGGGTAATATCAATAAACAATTTAAAGGGGAAATAAGTATTAGATACGTGTATCCAAACTTTAATGATATTGAAGAACCAAAAAAAAAATTTTTTAGGTGCTTTGTATGAGAAACTATAATCAAATAGATCACATTTTTATGTCACAACTAAATTGAAATCCCAAAATGCAATAAACTACATTCTTCATAGCTGGATGTGGTGGCGCACACCTGTAATCCCAGCACTTGAGAGGCTGAGGCAGGAGGATTAATGCAAGTTCAAGGCCAGCCTGAACTCCACAGTGAGACCCTGTCTCAAAAAGACCACAAAAAATGGGAAAGGGAAAGGGAAAAGGAAAGGGAAAGGGAAAGGGAAAGGGAAAGGGAAAGGGGAAGGGGAAGGGGAAGGGGAAGGAAAAGGAAAAGGAAAAGGAAATGGAAATGGAAATTTACATTCTTCATTAACAGCATTTTCTAAACGATGGGAAAAACACGTCAACATTATGTCTGAGGTCCCTGGAGGACAGAAAAGGTTGCCCTCCAACTGAAAGCCCTATGTACAATTGCTTACTTTATAAAACCAGCAACTGCTCTAACATTTTCTCTGTCAGTATCATTAAAATCACCTTACCTGTTTGGACCGTGGTCTACCAGGAGAAAATTTTCTTTTGGTAATAGCTGGTTTACCCATGCCAATTTTTGGAGTGACAGAGATGTACGTTGTTGGCATGATGCTACCACAAGAACTGAGGGCTGAAGAGTAACTGTGCAGCATGGCGTGTGAAGGCAAGTCTGAAGAAAGTGCTGGACAGGAAGACACATCTGTCTTGCCTATGTCTGCTGATGGTGAAAATGAGGACTCAGCCTCAGATGGCAATTTTACAGATTTGTCTCCAGGGCATAAACCATCTTTCACACAACTCACAACTGCAGAAGTCATTTCAAAATCCATGAACCCAGTGGAAAGTTCAGAATTCTCTTTCTGTTCCATTTCTTCTCGTACTCTTTCTATACTCAACTGTTGCTGAGAACACGAAGTACTTTCCTCACTTGGGGACGCTAAGGCCGCTGGTGGAACAGTGACAGATTCAACGGCTGTCGCTGGAGGCCGTGACTCTTCTCTGCATCCCGCCCTCTGAGCATCACGTAACAACTGGAGTTCTTCTTGCTGCACAACAGTCGGGTGTGTAAGGACTTCAACATTTTCTATCACTTCCATTTTATCTTCTTTTTGATCTTCATCATGGAGATGTGTCACTTTAGAAGACATTTCCATTTTTTCACTAGCAACTCCACAAGAAATCTCATTTTCCAAGTCAGAATTCATTTTATTTGGGGATGTTTCTATGAAATTCAGAGAATATTTGTTATGGTAATACACATACAATATTTTAAATGTCTAACTATGAATAGGTATAAAATACCTGGCTAAATCACCACTTAAACAAAAAGGTATTCATCAAGAAAGGGAACTATTCAGTTAATAAAAGCCAAACTGCACAAGGATTTATGTGATGGAATCAAACACACACCTTCTAAAAACACGTCTTTAATAGAATCCCCAGAGTCTGGGGTAACTTCTAATAAGAACACCAAAAGAAAATTATTATTATACTTCTAATATATACCTACGATGTTTTTCAATTTGAGCACTTATGAAAGGACTGAAAAGGTTATATGTAAAATTATCATATTCATTTTACAGGTAGGAAAAATAAGATCAGCAGTAATGTATGAGGTATTTAAAAGGTGAAGAATGGTCTTCAATGTGAAAACATCTTGCAGATATTCAGGTGTAAAAAAGCTTACACAGACATAAAACGAGTACTGAGCACAAGTAGAAAGTATTTAGTAACCACCAAGACTTATTTTGCTTATTAACTATACCTGTCAATCTAACTCAGACATACATATTTTGGGTAGAATCCTTGATCTTACTCATTATCATAACCTAAGAAATTAATCTTATCAAATCTAAGCATATTAGATACTGAAATATAAAGTGTTATGGTTTAGATATAAAGTATCCCCCACAAGCTTTGTGTTTGGAAGGTGCTACATGCATTAGTGGACTAGCCCACTGTTGAGTTAGCAGACTGTGCTGGGGGTGGCCTGGCTGAGGCGGGTAAGGCCTGGAAGGGTATTCTTGTCCCTCGCTCCTCCCTTCTGCTTTCTGGCTGCCACAGGTTGAGCACTGTTTTCTCGGCCAGGCTCCTCTGTCACGCTGTTGCTGCCTTGCAGCCAGCTGAGCATGGACTGAAACCATGAACCAAAACAAACCTCTCCTTTAAACTGTGGGTGTCCAGTATTTGGAAACCAGAAAATAACTAAAACAGATACAAATGAACATGGATGATATTGATACATGTATAGACACATAGTATAGATACATAGTATAGATACATAGTATAGATACATAGTACAGATACATGTATAGATACATAGTATCACTAACTGGTAAGTTTTAAATCTTAGTACTAGTGCATTAAACCTTTAGCGCAGGCCCCAATTGGCAAGAGTCCTATGTGACGGTATAAAACAGAACTGAAGATAAAAGGCAATTATTCCAAATCTTCTCAAGGCAATTTTTAAGGTACACTAATAGAGACACTAACCTCCTTATTATCTGTTGATCACTGATTAAAATTTAACTATGTTTTGATACCAAAATCAGATCTCACATCTCATTCCTGCTTTACTGAAAGACTAAAGATGAATATAAAGAAAAAACATCAAATAACAGCCCAGGTAGTACTAAATACTTTTAAAGAAATATATTTAGAGAGAAACTATCAATTGCCAATTCTCTTCAAAAAAAAGTTTCACTTGACTCAAAGATTTAGTTACTGCTAACTGTGTGAACCAAATGCAAAAAGGTCTTCAGTACAATTTCTTTGAAAAGTTAACAATTTCTTGAATCTGCGTAATAACCACAAAGGGCTCAGCATGTAACTCCATCACGCTGGGCAGCAGTAACACATGCTCACCAGAAATGAGAAGGCCACCTGTGTCAAAACTTTCCGGCAGGTTACTCTTCTGCTGCTCTTCAGTATGGACAACTTGAACTGCCACAAATAACACATTATTCAATGTCTAGCAAGGTGTCAGAACTGCACTAACATTGATTGCACAACAATAAACATTGCCCCTAAAACAAGAGTTTTGCCATAGCACAAAATACCAATCCCCAGCACAAGCACAAAATATTACTAAGTGGCATATAAAGATGAAATTAAGAATTTACATATGCACAATAAGATTTATTATTAGTACTTATTTTTCCTTACATAGCATTTTGTGAGGTTTTTTGTTGTTGTGATGTTGGTGTTACTGGGGATTAAACTCATGGCTTTCACACTATGCTATTTCCCCAGTACATCTTTTTTTAATTTTTGAGACAGGATCTTGCTAATTCACTGAGTTGTCCAGGCTGAGCTCAAACCGGGTGATCTTCTGCCTCATTGCCACAGCCTCCCTTGTAGCTGGGATTACAGATGCTGCCACTGTGCCCAGTGAAATAAAACTACTATATTTATGAGTTGTTAAATGTGAACTTAACACATTTCAAAAAACCTAAGGCTTTTTATGCATACACTCAAACTATGTAATTTAACATACAACTTTACATATGCTATTAGACTTTCAGATAAGCCCATGATTTACTAGTTTTCCCTCAACTGTCTTATTAACTCCAAATCTTCAAGTACAGTAAGAGCAATTATCAATACTAGAAAAACCCAACTGAAATATCACTGAAATTATCCTCAATAGGACGCTGATAAGGCATAATACAATAAAATTTTCATTATCTCAGCATGAAAAACCTTACAACTCCCAACAGCTCTAGCTGGTAATCATAAGAACTAAAGAAAAAAAGAACTGTATTGCTTTTTCAATGATGATTACTTGATCCCTAAACAAAGTACATGTTTATGATTAAATCTGTATTGCGAGTATCGCTAAACTGTCAGTATATACAGTACATGACTTTTTTCCCATTATTTGTGCCTAAGATCATCTTTCTAAGAAGTTCCTAGATCTACAGTTTCCATTCTGTCCATATCCTGGCCAACTTTCACTTAGTGTGCTCAAATTTTAGTAGATATTTACATATTCATCATCTATATACATTTTCCTCAAACACAGACTAGATTCATCAACACAAGCTTCTTACCATCTGGAACAATTCCAGCTGTGGACTCCTGATCACTGACATCTTTATTAACTCCTTGCTCCAAAAACACCATTTGCTCTTCAGTTCCTTCAACTTCCATTTCATTATTATAATCTTAAGAGAAAATTATTAATTCTTTAGCTCAGAAAGAGTTTTTCTGTTCTTGTTAACTAAGTCAGTAATTATGGTCTTGTTCTGGTGAGGGTAAGTTATCAGAAATGGCACAAGTTCTTCAGATTTTTCTTTTTTGAGCCAAATATTTACATTTTTTAAAACATAAAAACAACATGTTGATTATGTGTCAACTAAAAATGTATCTTACAGGCTGGAGCAGTAGCTCACTGAAGAACAAGGTCCTGGGTTTGATCCCCAGCATCTCCAGAAAAAAAAAAAAAAAAAAGCCAAACAAATGCACTTTTTACCATCTGGAATAATTCCAGGTATACACTCCTGATCATGGTGGACACTTTTATTAACTCTCTGTTCCAGACTAATATGAGAGAGACAGAGAGAGAGAGTATTTTAATGTAACTGTTTTTTTTTTTTTTTTTGCTTTTTAATATCTATCTATCTATCTATCTATCTACCTACCTATCTATGTATTTGCAGTACTGCTGGGACTCAAAATAGGGCCTCACACATGCTAGGTAAGTGCTCTACCACTGAGTTGCATCCCCTACTTTTTCCACTTTATTCTGAGACAAAGTCTTGCCAAGTTGCCCAGGCTGGCGTCAAACTTGCAATCTTCTTGCCTCAACTTTCCATGTAGCTAGAATGACTGGTATGTACCACCATCTTCATATTTTAAAAGGATATTCATTCCACTACTGTATGCCAGTGGTATCATGGAAATGAAATGTCAGTAATAAAGATGCCTCTACTTAAAACTTCTTTAGTGGATAAAAGAGGTCTTTTATAAATGTTGCCACATCATACTGACAAAATGCAAAACAATTTGGTAAAGCAGGTCTGTTTCATTACCCTCTAAGAACCTTGCTATACTGTTTATAATAACAGGATACATTCAAAAGTACTCTGTACTTGAATGAAATTTTGGGTTCAAGAGGTGACAATAAACATTTAAGTACAGTGTTAGAAAACAAACCTTGTTTAGAGCAAGATAACCCAGATTATGAAGAACAGACAAGATGACAGCCCCACCGCTGAGGAACTGCTTGCCCAAGGAGCACAAGAGAAGAAAGGAACCAGGAACTCAAGCAATAAGAAAACTGCCAGAAAGAAGCTGGTTTTGATGTTAACCATCAGATTCAGAAATGACCAAGACAGTGAATACACTTACAGATACAGAAACTGAAAACAAGATGGGATCAGACACCCAGGGTTTCTTCGTTATGATTAAAGCTAGTAACTGGCTGGCAAATGTTTATATTAAGAAAACAGGACTAAAAATTCCTAACTTACCTGTAGTGAATTCAGCCATCTCCACTTCATCACCTGGCTGTAACGGATCCATCTCAGCTCCTAAGTGTTTACAATACATGCAAATATACTCTTCCTTGAGCTGAGAATCCAGTTCATGATCTGTTGGTTTGTCACATTCTAAGTGAACCCATCTGCAGTAATAAGTATATTTTAAATAAAATTTTCTAATTTAAAGTCAAGTTAGTGTCTATGGAAAGGGGAGGCAACTGCTGGAAAACTGAAGAATAAAGGGGGCCAGCAACTGGCAAAAGTTTTCAAAAGGAATCTGGCATTTGTTGACGTTCTTAAAGGTGTCGACATATTTTTACTTCCACATTTTTAAACACTCTCCTTTTTACTTTTCCCCCTTAATGCTCAATTCTGGTCAGATGTGGCGATGTGCATTTCAAGATACGATAGAGCAAATGATCACATGGATCAAGGGCAATTAAGTGGGATAACTACATCTTCTTACCTCTTGCACACATTACAATGGAGCATGTCTTTCTGCAATTCTGGATGGTAGCACTTTCCACAGAAAGGACATAAGTTATCCTGCAGTTGGTAACAAGCGTCACATATCAGGCAATTGTGATGCCACTGAGAACTAGATCGTGTGCCACACTCTACACAGATTCTGCAATTCTAAACATTAGGAAAAACAAAAACAAGAAACAATGTATCTGTAATTGCAGTTCTGATGTAAATCTTTTTTAAAATCAGTGAAATATTTGTGGATTATACATTAAGATTTAATTTTCATGAGACAACTGAAGGTATATGCTTTTGAAAAAGCAATTTGTTTTGAATGTCTCACCACACAAAATCTGCACTAAGACCTCCAGCAAAAATGTAAATGGGGCGGGGGGGGGGTGGTTGGTGAGCCAGGAAAACATTAACATGACACAAGGAAATGAAAAACACCACACCCCAAACTTCAGAATGAACCATATACCAAAATCAGGAAAGAAATTTTATGGAATACATCTACTCAACCCACTACTGGAGAAATCAAGATGCTGCTGCTGTAGTATTCCATTTTCTTCTTGATAGCTTAGGAACTAAAAACAAGAACTCTTGCTAACAAAAGAATATGACCCATCTGATGCAACTTGGTACTTCAAACTGTGAAGGTAATAATGCCACATCAAAATTCAATGACAGGTCCTCATATTTTTTTCCAATAGAAAATTATTCTACCTGAACCCAAATGGAAATGATTATGAAGTACAACACCTTCCCAAGGCCAGACAAAATCTTTTCTGTGTTTATTCACTAGCCTGCTTCAAAATACTGGACACATGGCAGATAAAGAGAAAACTAGCAAAAACCATCAACTGATCTGTTAATCGTATAGATAAAACATGGATATACATACATAATAGAAAAATTCTAAATCAAATCTTATCAAACAGATTCCAATACCACATTAAGAAAACAATATGCCCATTGGCGTTTATAAAAGAAATATAAGGGTATATGATTATTAGAAAAAATGTTGAAAAAAGAAGGAAAAACGGAAACAAAGCTTTTGTAAATAACGGAGGTGGGGGCTAAGGGATGGTAGTGGAATGAGAAAAAAATAGAATCAAGTTATGTCATACAGGTACAAATTTCCTATGATGAATGTGATCATTTGTATACCTAAAATGTACCAATAAATGTAATTTTAAAAAAAGAAAAATCTGGTGAAACCACTATGGAAATCAGTTTGGAGGTTTTTCAGAAAACTAGGACTAGAGGTCCCATTCAACCCAGCTATTCCCCTTCTGCGTATTTTCCAGAAGATCTAAAAACATCGTAACACAGCGATATATGTGCACCTATGTTCATAGCAGCACAATTTGTAATTGCTAAATTGTGGAAGCAACCCAAATGTCCATCCACCGATGACTGGATAAGAAAATTGTGGGACTTTTATATAATGAAATATTACTCAGCTATAAAGAAACATAAACTCAAGGCTTTTATAGGTAAATGGTCACAACTAGAGACCATACTCATAAGTGAAATAAATCAGACCTGCATGTGCAAACACCGCATTGCTTCACTAGTGTAAAACCTGAAGGAGTTAATTTAAACTGGGAGGTATGATAGACATTGTGTAATGACAGGAAAATGCTCAAGGGTAAAGGGAACTGGGATGTGGGAAAAGAGAAGGGAAAGAAGGAGAAATTTTGTATGTATGTTTATACAGGATAGTTAATATAGTTGATCTACTGTCTTCTATTTCTTTGCTGAAAGAAACTGTTAATGAGTCCTTGATTGATCAATATTGTATGTCTCTATTTGTTTTCATGAGAAACCCCTTTGAAAATATCAATATGTAATACAACAAGCATTGTTAATTTCCTATCACTTTGTTTGTAACTCTGTATTGTCTGTACTGTTCTTTTGCTATTTTGTAAAAGGTTGTCTGTCTTAATGTCTTCCTCCTTTTATTTTTAAAATTTTAAAAAAAAGAAAAATCTGTTAAGAAATGAAAGGATGTTTAATTAGAAAAATCTAATAAAATTTAAGATATTAAAAATTAGAAGAAAAATTACTCAACAGCAGTATATAAAATGATGCAAAAATTGGTAGAATTCACACAAACGATAGTTTAAAAATACAAGAAAATATCATGTATAACAGCAACAAAATAGAGTAACAAACTTATGAAATGTTCAAAATCTACAGATGAAAATTACAAAACATTCTCAAAAGACACAAGACTAGAGGAACAAATGCAAAAACACCCATTTGTTCTGGGTTAGGGAGTCTTATTCAAGATGCCAGTTCTCCCTAAATCAATAAATTTAATGGGGTCCCAAAAGAAATGCCAATGATATTTTTAATGGAGCTAGATAAATTGATCCTAAAGTTCCTAAGGGAAAATAAATACATAAGAACAGCTATGAAAAGCTCTGAAGGGTGCCCAACATCACCAGATACACATCCTCTATATTTAAAACAGTAAGGTGCTGGTGCAGGACTACATGGATGAACAGAATAGAAAATTCCAACCAAATATAAAATTCTAGTCTGGAATCTCAAGTTGCTGGGCAAAGACAGTCATTTTAATGAATGGGTTTTTTTTGAAAACTGAATAGCCAATTGGAAAAAGATATACCATGCACAAGCACCAACTGTAAATGGATCAGAGCTGTAAATACAGTAAGACCTCGGCTCACAAGCACTTCAGTTTACAAACAATTCAGTTAGCAAACAGAACCATTCTGCAAAATTTTGCTTTGGTTAGCAAACTCACTGAATAACGAACATGACCATGGCCACCATCCCCGAAATCATAAAACAAGTAAAGCTCATAAACTGAGGCACTACTATATACAAAATAATGCAAATGGGGCCATGAATGTAGCTCAGCAGCAGTGCCTGCCTGGCAAGCACAAGGTCTAGAGTTCGATTCCTTGTTCAAAAAAATGCAAATGTATAACTGCTATATAATCTTAAGAACGCATAGAAAAAACGCTTTCTAATTATGACTCAAAAATCCAGAAGCAGCTAAGTGTGCTGGTACCCTCCAGTTTAACCCAGGACTTGCAAGGCTGAGGCGGGATCATGAGTTCTATGGCACCCTGGGCCACACAGCAAGTTGGTCAGCTGACTACATAATGAGATCCCATCTCAAAAAAAAATCCAGATGCCATCAAGATTAGTAAATCTGACTACATAAAAACACACTTCTGCATGGCAGAAATAATAAAGACAAAGGACAAATAAAAAATTTGCGTCATGTAACACATAAAGGCTGCATACACTTAAATTTTATGAAAAACTCTTCACTTGTGAAGAAAACACCTAACTCTTCAGTAGCGGTCAAAATGTAGAAAATTCACAAAAAGGATAAAAACTGATGCTTAATCCTATGGGAAAAAAAAAATCAGCTTCACTCAGAAATGAAGATCGAAACTATGTTGAAAGAGACAAAATATAAAGGGTAGATTAGATGAAAATACTGTACTGATGTAAATCTACAAAGCTGACAACAATGCTTTATGTAAGACCATTCCTATTACAAAGAAATGCACAATGAAATTTTAAAGTAAAAAGAGTACCATGTGTGTAACTTACTCTTAAATGGGGTGGGGGTAAGAATAGAGATACCTCAGTTCACGAAATTAATTCTTTTCATGATTCTGATCACAAACCATCAACTTCAACAGATAGGTTCAACATGGACCTTATGGGGAAATTTGATTTGGTTTGTAATCAATTCAGTCTGTAACCAAAACCATAGAAAGAATTAAAGTTTGTGAACTGAGGCGGGTACCATTGTAACAGACACTGACACACTGGAAGAAAAGACATGTATAATGACAATTTAAAGAGCTGTCACTGACAGCATCTAAAAACCCTATCAATAATCGACTCTAAATAACTGGCATGATGGACATGTTTTTTATCCTTCTATCTTTTAAAGTTTAAAATTATTTTCAAATAAAAAATTTTTTCACACATATTATATCAAGCACAGGCATCCTGGAGAAAAAGAAAGCAGCTGGCTGGACACTGATGGTGCACACAGAAGACAGCAGTGGTGGTAAACATTTTAGAGCTTTTAATGATGCAAAGAGCCCACAGCAGCACATGTGCCATAGATTGGCCATCACTGACCTATAAGAGAACAACTACTCCCCCCCACGGGGAGCAGCCATTTAGACTGGCACTGGTCAGCGCACACCTGCTTCCCCCAGTGTCTCCAGCCCCTGCCCCGGTGATGCCACAGAGTGTAAGCCCTTGCGTGCTAAATCCATGAATGACACAGACTCCAGAGAGCCACAAGAGAACTGAGGATCAGAGAGGAGGCTGTCCTTCAACAGCTCACAGGACGGACTTCCCTTTCAAACTTCGGAGTTATGTGGGCACTCACTAACTGCAGGCATTATGCTGGCCACTTTACACACCTCCCTGAACAAACTCCAACACCCCTGGGAGGTAGAACTCTTAACATTCTACATACTGCAAGGTCGTGAGTTCGGTTCCCGGTACCGGAGAAAAACCAAAAAAAAAAAAACATTCTACATACTGACTTAGGAAAATCTAGTAACTTGGCAAAGAGTGTACCTTTAGTAAATGAAAAAAGCCAGAATTTCACTTAACAGCCTAAGCACTGAAACACTACATTATATATTGTTGGCTACATCAAAGAGAATTTTAAAAGTAGCCAATAGTGTTCTCAGTGATACTGGACACAATTCTGTCATTCTGAAAGAACAGCACACTTTCAGAAAGCAATGCGCAAGAGTAAACCAAAGGAAGTCCAGGGACAAGCTGAGAAAAACGTACATTCTACGGAAAGTTTCCAAGATAACGAAAAGCGTAAGATTATGAATTAGAGCAAGAAACAAAATCTACTGAGCAATTACTACATATTATTAAAGAGAGTATAAAGAATGATAATATTTTTGTAAAATGCAGACAAGTACTGTATTTAAAGCAAACCACCAGCAACAAAAACATTCTTCCAGTCCTTCAAATGGGTCTGATAGTGGTCAACATGACCAGGTTACAAATTAATCAGTGTAGGACAGCATTAGTAGCTAGATTCTGGAAGCAAACCCAAAAATTAAAAATAAAGATCTCTAACTTTTCAGGCAGATATAAAAAAAAAAATTTTGGTGAAGTAAATGTTTTTAAAAAGG